GGCCGGGAGGGCGGGGTGGGGCCGCCGCTGCGGCAGGTTGCAAGGCGTTGGCGCTGACCGTGGGCTCCCCGAAGCTCCGGCTGCTGCCGACTTTCTCTACGCCTAGGATTTGTGGGTTCGCCTTCCTGCCAACGCCTCCAAAACAAACACATCCCTCCCTACCTGTAGCGTCCCAAGCCCCACAAGGTCCCGAACTCCAGCTTCTTCGCAGCTCACCCGTCTCCTCCCTTTGCCTTTCTAGGAATTTCACTAGCAATGAACTTGCCTGAATAGAAAAGTCAAAAAAGCAAAGGACTTTCGTAATCCTTAGGCTGGGTTGCACTTTCTTCCTCTCGTTCAGTACATGACTATTAACTTCTTGCATCGATTGCCTGTATTGGAATGTGTGCCGTTCGATGGTCGGTGCTGGAGAAATCAGGTTGCTTACCTAAGATTCAATGTAAACGCAGAGGCTCAGCAAGGCAGACATTGCGAAAGCCTCGCTGGTGAGATGATACATAACTCCGACAACTCACTTGCTATATATGGCAAACTTAACAATGAGAAAGCAATCAGGAGTAGCAAAAATATCCTGAGTTGCACAAGCTAATCTGGGGACTAAAGTGAGTGCACAGGGGTGGAAAGAAGTAACTACAATGTGCACGCGAATCCGTGTACAGTTTTCTAACTGGTGACAAGGAACACAAGCTTGGTGAAGGATACTTGGAATATGATCTCGTATTATTTGAGCATAGTGACTCATAAGGGCTTTGTCACAGTTTTGTATAGTTTAAAACCGTCTCTAGCAGCACCTTGGATGTCTTCAGCCATCTTGTGTGATCTTTCTCATGAATCCTAGTGTTTTTGTTTGATTATTTGATTTTGATAAATTTTATTTTATGGATACCCTATACACTTGCCTGAAAAGTTATGAAATGGTTAGAAATAAAAAAAACTATGAGGATACTGCAACTGTTCTCATTCAAATCATCAAACTGTTTACGAGAACATCGTGACTCAAAGAAGATGACCTGTCAAAGAATTTCTGTTAGAGAGCATTTTTCTTCAGTTATACACCAAACTTTCTTCTCTTCCTCATAGACTAACTTCATGTTTCTCCATATTATAGGTTTCTTTTTTAGAAAATCACATCTATCAAAGTTACATATTACATAGTTTCTCTAGCATGACAGACGTACAATAGAAATAATTTAAAAAGCGAAATGAAACAGATGTTAAGAAACAGGGTTGCAACCAGGCGTGGTGGCACACACCTGCAATCCCAGCAGTCGGGAGGCTGAGGTAGGAGGATTGCTGCGAGTTTGAGGCCATCCTGGGCTACAAAGTGAGTTTGAGACCAGCCTAAACTGCGTAGTGAAACCCTGACACAAAAAGGAAAAAAAGAAAGAAAGAAAGAAAGAAAGATAGATAGATGTAGACTGTGGAGATAGGACGGGGTCCTGGGGAAGGACAGAAAGGGAGGCCAGGAAGGAGAGGTGAAATGAACAAGATGTGATATATCTATGCACTAGTTCCTCAAGAGGACTGCAATTAGTGTGTGCTGTAAAAGTATAGTATTAATAAAAAAAAATTTAAAGAAAATCAGCTTTTTTATTTGAATTTAACAAAGTTAAATTTAACATAAAAATCCATTACTTTGATTTTAAAAGTTAGTGGCAGATTCTAAAGATTAATTTTAAGAACTTGGCTATTGCTCTGAGTTATTTAGCTTTACAAAAAATCTTACTAGTGCATCCTACATAATTAAAAAAACTCTTTATAGAACAAGCATATTTGCCAATTTAGATCACTCATTTCCTGTTTACATCTGATAGTTTCCTACTTACTCAACATTTTTTTAAAATACTAATTGTCATACTGTAGGATTTTGACAGGAAAATTTTTGGTTTCCTCATAGGCATTCCTTTTTAAAGAGCTTATAATCTGAACAAATAATTAGGGGGTGGAAATTTGAGAAATTGAAATAACTTGGCATATAGATCCCATTGCCAGGACTTAGTCATTTTCGAAATTTGCTCCTATGTCGAGTTTGCTCTTATGAATCAGCTTAAATATGCATGATTGTTGGAACTATATATGCTTAGAATATTGTCTTAATAACTCCTAGATTGTTGCATTATCATTGCCTATCATCAAGAACACAAAGTCATAGAATCCACGTGAAATGAAACATTTAGCTTTTGTATGGTCTCACTGTGTCTCCAGAAAAGCATGCGTATTTTGACTCCAGCGCAGCCGTGTTGGGACGGGGACATAGAAAGGTGACTGGGCTGGGAGGGCTTCGCTCTCATGAATTAATTCCATCACCACAAGAATGCATTTATTTTCCCAGAGTGGTGGGTTCCTCATAAAAGAGTAAGCAAGTTTCGTGCCTTTTTTCCTCTCTCTCTGTCTCCCTCCCTCCCTCTCACCTTCTTTCCCTCCCTCCTTCCCTCCTTCTGCTCTTCTGGGCTACAAGAAGGCCCTTATCAGTTGCTAGCCCCATTATCTTAAGCTTTGCAGCCTCTAGGATCACACAACAATAAATTTTTTTTCAATATATAATTGCCCAGTTTTGGGTTGTCAATTATAGCAACACAAAACAGACCAAGACAAACCCAAGTCTATTTTTCTAGTTTGAGTCAAATTGATATTTCTAACAATGTTCAGTATTACGCTTTTTCTGTAAACCAAGAAAATTCGTGTTTTCTGTCTTGGCTATTCATATTTCTTTGTTTAGAGAAGTTTTGAATAGGTAGGCATGGTGTAATCCCAGCACTCAGGAGGCTAAGGCAGAAGGATTACCATGAGTTTGAGGCCAGCTTGCACTACATAGTGAGTTGAAGCCCAGCTTGGAACATGTAACAAGACTCTGTCTAAAAAAACTGCATTTGAAACTCCATTTTTGTACACTGAAAATCTCCTACATTGCCCAAAATATACTTGTAAGGTATTAATGAGAGAAAAGTTCAATTCATATTTTAGACCTGGACAATTTCTGTGATATAGTGTGGTCTTCAATCTACTTTATTAGGGATTAGAATTCTTTTCCTTCATTAGGTGTATTACTCTTCTGTAATAATTATATTTCTACCAATAAAAAACAATAAGCAAACATCTATAGATAAATTTTGCATGATGTAATAATGACACTGTTTAGTCATCGGGTGTTCACAGATTAGAACCTTGTGTTAGCTTTTCGCCATTGTGACAAGAATCCCTGAGATAAATAACTAAAAGGAGGAAAGATTTATCTTGGCTCATGATTTCAAAAGATTCAGCCATGGTTGTTTGGTCTGGTTGCTTTAGGGCCTGAGGCAAGACAGTACATGGTGGTGGAACTGTCATGGTGGAATAAAGCAGCTTGTTATCTTAGTGGCCAGAAAACAGAGGAAGTGGCTGGTGACAAAATATCCCCTTCCAGGGCCTGTCCCCAGTGACCTACTTTCTCTCTCTAGGCCCCACATCCTAGAGTAGCCATCACTTTCCAGTAGCCCATTAAGTTATGAATCTAGAAGATTCATCCACTGATGAGGTCAGAGCCCTCATGATCCAAGCACCTTCTAAAGGCCTCACCTCTGAATGCTTCTGCACTGGGAATCAAGCCTTCACTCAACACCTGAGCTTTCTGGGGATAGTGCAGATCCAACCATAACTAAACCTCTAAGATTAGGATCTGCCTAAAATAAATTAGGATCTGCACAATACATATTGAATTAAATGGACAGCTGAACATTTATTTATGCTTTTACAGCATGTGTCCAACTCTAAGAAAACTAAGTAAGGTACCTTCAAGATTGTCCAAGACCTCATGATCAACACACTGTCAATCATCAGCTTTTACAAGATCCTGTTCCAAATTCCCAACCAACACCTAGAAGTCTCTGGTCATTGCCCCTAACCTGAAGGAATTTGCTCTCCTCTCTGACTTATTCTTTTATGGGTCATATTTTTCTGCAGTTACCTTGGATTCCAGAAAAGACAGATCTGGTTGATACATATTGTACAAATCAAAATTACCCCCACCCCTCACCCCAGTAGCCACAAATTTCTTATAGTCACAGACAAGGATCTGTATAGGTAATCTTGAGATAATGGTCAAGCAGATCATAATTTGACCATGATGGCTAACTGTGCATACTTCTAACCCACCTTCCCTTGAAGATAGTGCAGAGAATCCTGGGAATCCTTTGCCTTCTTAGTATGGTTATACTGAATAAATTTCTTTTCTGCTTTCCACCTGTCATGGTTTGGGATTATTGCAAGGTGAACAATATAATACAGGACACATATTTTATGAGATTATTTATAATAGTCACCCAAAAAATCATATACAAAGAGTACAGGAAATCTGTTCACACACTAAAGACCAAAGAATCCAGATGAGGGCCTGGATCCCATGGTAATGTCCTGCATGAGATCAGCTAAAGACCTAGAGCCCAT